CGTGCTCGGAAGACGAAAGTCGTACGGCTGTACAGTAGAAGCGGTCGCACGCTGCCCATACACCTGCCGATTAACGTACGATCGCGGGGTCACCCACAACTATCGTACGATAATGCGCAGGTGTATGGGCACCTTTAGTGTATGTGTATATAAGGCCCCATTCACACCTACAGTATATTTCAGGTGTGATTAGAGATATGTGTCAGGAACTTGCGTTTTCCTGCAGCAGGAATCCCTAATCTGCCGTTTACAAGCGGCAACTATCACAGGATAAGAATTATCATAAAATTATTTAAGAGGGTGTGTTTAGGGGCGGAGTTAAGGTGGGGCAGGGTAAGGGTTAGGTGGGGCAACTAGTGGCTAGTAACTCTTAAGGCCTACCCTGAGATCTCATGAGATTTTGCAGTTTACGGTTGAGATTTCCCAGCGATGCACTGTGATGTAACCTTCCCAGGATGCATCTCTTAGGCACAGGCTACATCACTAATGCCCAAGCGGACCAGGAAGTAGAAAAACAAGAATTGTAAGTAAAATAAAAATATGTTTGTTTACCTAATGAATGTAAGATGATTTCATATCAGCATGCAGAGGTGCATTGTGAGGTCATTTTTAGTGAAAGGGGGTAGTAAAGGTCCACGTTGAGGGACTGCTGCCTCTGATTGCTTGTCTCAAGAACTGGAGTGAGATTTAGCGAGTTCGCTTATTCTACAGTTCATTGTCCTTGCTGGAGAGAAAGCTGCAGTGTACACCCAGCTTTACGCTGGCCGTACACGGTGTGAATTTCAGGCACTTCTTAATGAACCGCGCAAAATTCACTGAGTGGGTGGCCCTGTTGGCAGCCTCTCGTTCGAAATCCTTTGATTAGAAAATCAAAAGGAGCTAGAGAGAAACTTTTTGACCAAAAAGTGACAACAGCCAATTGGTTGCAGTGACTGTTCTGTTATTCTGACAGTAGCACACCCACCGCTGTCAGAAGACAATAGCCCAGCAGGAGATTCGTCCATCCACACTGTTCTATTTTTTGCATTCAGCCCGCAGTTCCAAGGGGACAAACTAGAACAGTGCAAGACCAGCCTTAGGCTTCAGGGTCGAGGTGGAAAACCTCTCCGTTGTGTGAGCAATTACACTTAGCAAGGGCCACACTCCTTGCAACTCCAGAAACAGAGCACTTGGATCAGCTAATTTCCAATGTGTGACAAAGTCCTTGGCTACGGCATTCAATACGCTCCCAAGGCTGGTGCAACGCTGCTGCAGAAAAGAACAAACAACTCAAAGCATTTTATCAATCCTATAAATAATGATGAATACAGCTGACGGGAATAAATAAGATTAGTATGACCCAAGCCAGTGAAAATCCCTTGCAGATTGGGGGGGATTTTCCCCTTTAAAGCTGGCCATACACTATGCCAAAATTTGGCCAGTTCTTTTTGAACCGGCCAAAATTAATCGCAGTGGGTGCTACTGTTTGGCCGGCATCCCTCAAATAGAAGATCGAAGGAGCCTGTTGGAATATCTTCAATCAGCTGCAAGCACCGTTCGTTTATTCTGACAGCGACTGCCAGCCAAAAGGACACAGCGGGTGATTCTTCCATTAACAGCGTATGTCCAGATGTAGTTAATATCCTGTGTAAAAGTTTTTAGGGCCGGTTTACCAATACTTTACAGGCACAGTATCTGTGCCTTTAGAGCTCGCTATTGCACAGCCCAATGCACCACATGCTAGGTGCATTGTGTTGCCACTAATTCTGAATTGCACCCCAAAGCACCTTCTGGTGGGTGTATGTTGGAGCACAAGAGTGTGCACTGCGGTGAAAAAGGAATGCATGCATTATTTTTATTTTTTTTTGGTACCACAATGTAAGCTACTGCTGTAGCATTAATTGCAGCACAACACACACACATAGGGAGGTGTACTCAGGTGCCATTCAGAATGAATGGCAATGCAACACATTAGCTCACCTAGCGTGCAGTGCGCTGAGTGATAGCGTGCGCTAAACACACATACAGTGCCTTTAGCGCAACACTAATAGTGTGAATTGGCCCTTAGCAAGATGGCAAAAACATGCTAACAGTTAACAATCCACTGTGACTTACAACAGCATGAATTTACACTGCACCACATTGACCAAAATGATTGTAATAAAGAAAAAAAGGTCTCAGAAATTGTATCATGTCAGATAACATTCTTGCATTGCATCTTGTAAAGAAGTTACTAAAGATAAGACAGACTTCCCACCACATCCTCAAAAGATGACAGTCCGAGATAAGCGACTGAAGAAGTCCATACGCCAAGACCCTCTGATTAGTTACTCCCCACCCCCCAGGAAAACTGCTTTGCTTTTCCTGCTGTATGGAGGAAGCACCGCCAACCACAAGATGGGGGGAGTCTCCTGACAGATCAGGCAAAAGGGAAGTAGATTATTAGCATTGACCGGTGTACGGAACAGATACCGTTTCTGCTCTTGTGTATTTGGACTGCAGGAAAAACCTTTTCAATTCCATACAGTCCCAATAAAAATGAACCTGGACTTGTCCGGCACATTTAGGTGGACCTGCTGCTAAGAGAAATCTACAGGCTCAATTTAAAGTATATGTCCACTTTTGCAGCCGAAATTTTACATTATTCACACAGCACATATTTCAAACATATGAAAAACTTGCAGCTTAATATTTTTTTTTTTGCTGAAAAAAATCTTACTGATCTTTTCCCCGTGTTTTGTCAAGGGAGCTAAAATAAAGTTATACTCACCCAAACCGCAATCCCAGCTGTCTCCTACACTGATCCCTCCTGCCGTCTCTCCCTCTGCTCCAGCGATGGTATATCCCTCGGCGTCCTTACATCCTATATACTGTGTATAGAACATGATGACTCACAAGACCTTAGTCCGCTGGACTGAGGGTGAAAGGAGCGGTGTAAGAGCAAGGCAAGATCACGATTTGGGGGCAAGTATTACTTTGTTATTCTAGCTCCCTAGGCAAAATGGGCACTTAACCCTTGCAGTGCAGGAGTAGCCCCACTGCAAGGGTTAAGATTTGATTTGCCTGGGGTTCTGCTTTAAGATATGATAAATGTAGTCAAACCACAGACATGAATACGCAGCGAGCCTGACCAAGAGAACTATTTATCTTTCACAAGCTGGCCTTGAGAAGTGTTGAGAAAACATTTTCATGTGCTACACAAACATGGCTATAAAAAAAAAAAAAAGATTGTATGCAGCTGTACGTGGGTATATGCCGATACTTGTGTACAGCTGCAAATGCGTCCGGATTTAAAGTCTGCAGATAGGCATGTCCCCATACCAATACTAGTATCGGTATCGGAGCCAATACAGGGTATTTGTACTCGTAAAAATGCCCTGATACTAAAGGCTGATACCGGCCCAGCAAGCGCAGGACCAGCAAGCGCAGGTCCTGCGCTTGCTGGGGACCTCAGGCAGTTGTCTTTGGCAGTGCCGGTCCGGCTGCACATCTCCTCCTGCTCCTTCCCAAGACCAGCAAAGCAAAAGGACAGACGCGCACGTACAGGTCTGGAGCCCGGCACCTGCCAGTACAGCCCTGGAGAGCTCGGCACCCACACGCAGATCCCAGCAAACACCCGCAGCCCTGGTGAGACCCTGCATGCAGCCCTGTATAATAGGACTACAAATCTCAGCAATCCATGATTGCTGGTTGACATTCTCCATTGCTGAATAATCATGGATTGCGGAGATTTGTAGTCCTCTATAGCCAGTTGCCATTCTCCATTGCTGAATAATCATGGATTGAGTTACAGTTCTTCATAATTATAAAGAAACTGCCCTAAAATCATTAGTCTTTATTGTTTTAGAAAAAGAACGGCAGATGTCCAACATCAGTAATTGGTCTCGGCAAGCACATAAGGGAAAGTACTTGTACTTGGTCTTGAAAACAAAAATGGTATCGGGACATCCCGATCCGTAGACACAGATTTTCTCGATTTACTAAACAAAACTTTATGGCAATTTTAGTAAGCAAACGATCTTTGTGAAAGAGACACAAAATTTGCATTCCTCACACGTGAATGAATTAGGAAAAAATAGAGAGTGGTGTGTGCCCTCTCCTCCTCCTCAGCATAGCTCCTACTGACACCCTATGATCTTCAAGAAGGGACAGAACAAAATATTCATGCGGACTGGCATAGATAATCAACCAATTTGCACATTAGCAGGCCTCCCAGCTTCAGAAACGGAGACATCATTTGAATAAGTTACATTTAAAAGGATGAGTGGTTTAGTTTTAGAGAATTAACATGCCCCCATGGCCCTTCAGATGTTGCATAGCATCCTTTCTTGGGTTTGCCAGGCAGTGCTCGGGTAACCATGGTGGATAATGTGCTCCTCACTATATGTGGCTTCCATTGGGAATGATGGTCAAGTTGACACAGGTGAGTGAAAGGCCATTCTCTTCTAGGGAGGCCACAGTCGCATGCATACAAAATCTGCCAGGTTTGTGGCCATTTTCAAGGATAATTCCACTTTCCCAGGTGAATTTGGGAAAATGGATTTACCCCCACCAATCTGCCCCTACACTTTCCCCCCCTTACCTGTCAAAACTCATTTGCCTCCGCGGCTGCTGGTGTAGGGCCGTACACAGCAGTGCAGCCTTGAGGTCGGTATTTTAATTTCCGCTCGCAAATGGTGAACACTCACTGGTCAGCATGGTCACCTGTCTAGGAAGCACTTTTGACCATGCCGACCAATGAGAAGCACTTCTTAGCAAGAGGTGGCAGATTGGTGGGGTAATTCTATTTTCCCAAATTTGTCTTGAGAAAGTGGAATTACCCTTTACATTATCACTCCACCTTGAACTAGATTTCAACTAAAGCCGGTTTCCGTTCAGCTAAATCACTCGCTGTCATCTTATGTCCATCAGAAACTCCAGCAGAGATATTTTTTCAGCTCTGACATACATTCAGCAGAACAGCTTCTAAATAAAAACAGATACGAGTTCAGAGTGGACAAAATGAATGAATCGCAGGTTACCTTGCCGGACTCCCTCTCAAAGTCCACATAATCTCGTGTTGGTGCTTGGCGTGGCTCTCCTTGCCAACTGGCTGGAAAAAACTGCAGTGAAAGATTGGTTCCCGTGGCCACAAATGCCTGTAACAGAAAATTAATAGACAGCAGGTCACTTTTATGCAGAACAATAGGGGGTTATTATTATTATTATTATTATTATTATTATTACTAGGGATGTACAGATACTTTGAGTACCAGTGCAGATACTTGGTATTTTAATGAGAACTACCAGGGATGCAGCAGGTGCAGCTGGGACCTGGCTCTGGCACTCCACCACTGTCCTGAAGTCATTAGTCTGTATTGTTTTAGAAAAAACTGTCACATGACAATAAACAGAAATGTATCAGTACTCGTACTTGTAAGTACTCGGCACGTACCAGTACTCGCAAAACTGGTATCTTTGCATCCCTTTATTTATATTTATAAAAACAAAATCCTACATTAAAACAGAGATGTACAAATCCCAGGAGCTCCGTGTGCTCCTTACAAATGACAACTGCCTCCTAATTTTTGAATTTTTCTCTAGTGTAGTCTTGGAGCTCAAAAGTATCGGTACATGTACTCGTACTTGGTATCTGTGCAACCCTAATTATTACATAGTATTTATAAAGCGCCAACAGTTTGCGCAGCGCTTTACAATATAAGGAAGACATTACAGTTACAATACAATTCAAGACAAGATGGTAAGGAGGGCCCTGCCCCTGAGGGCTTACAATCTAAAAAGGAGGGGGAAATGATACATGAGGTAGCTGTGGGTTGCTGTATAATCCGTACGCACTGCGAACAGCTAGGCCAAGCAGATTGACAGCACATTATGGTGACTAGATGGAGCCGTGGAACATAAGAAATTCTTATGCTCCTCAGCTCCATCTAGTAACATAATGCACTGACAATCTGCTTCTCATAGCCGTTTGCTGTGCGAATGTGTTATAAATCAAGTGTTCAAGTTACCTCCTACAAAGACAAGTCCAGCGCTAACAGAACTGTTACCTTCTCCATATACACAATTACTATTCAAAATTAATAACATCTAAAACTCCATATAGACATACAATTAATTTTTTTCTTTACATACTTACTATTTCAGAACGGCCATCCCTGCAGGCATTCTGAAAACGTGCCTGCCGTTCCTCGTGCGGTCGGTCTCGAAATCCTGTGTATTTGATCTAAAAAATACAATGTAAAATCACCCAATGAACTAAAGTAATGGTATACTTGTGCATCATCACCAAGCGTATTGAACATCTGGGACAGACAGACCCTCAGCCAGAGACAGCGGCTCATTGAACCTTAGCTAGGTTGTGATCTGTAGTTACACAGATAATAGAGTGCAATCCAAAAGTCTTTTTTATTTAAACATGGCTACAGGCAGCAGTCTAAAGTTTTTGGGACTTGAATGGCCTGCTCACCTCAATAAAACGGTCTCTGAAACACTGGCCTGCTGAACGTAACCATGCTGTGCAAGTAATGATTTATGGCCTCTTCATTCTGGTTTGTCTGTATGGTACCATAGTTAGCTGTTGAGCTCAACCGATTTATAGGACGTAGAGGTATGTCTGCGAGATGAAGCTGTATATGTACCTGTAGATACCCAGATCTCTCCAACTTCCACGGTAACTACATAATGACACAGTCTGAAGAACGATCATGACCCGCTGTCTTCGACAACCACACAGTCCGAGCATGCTGGTGGAGATGTGGCTTACAGCAATGAAGAGCGGAGACAACGAATACAAGCGAAATGCTCGCACTGACTTCTGGAAACTGTGTCCCGATAGAAGTAGAGAGGTTTTGACGTTCATGAGCTTAAACTTTGCTGTGCTTTAAAAAAAAAAATGTAGCATGGAAACCCATCAGAAAAGATATTGAACTGTATTTGACAATTAAGGGGGAACCTAGTGATAATTTCCACACCTTGGACAAAGTTATCCTCACAGTTTGTTTTAAGACCAAAACTTTGGATACAGTAGGGATGGGTAAAACCCAAATCAGTTTTTTTGCTACTTTTGTCTCATTGGAGGAACTTCTTTTTTTACTTCTAGTCTTGTAGAAACTAGTGATGAATCTAGACTTGGCGTGAACCCGGTTTACTTGAGTTCACCCAAGCCCGCTCCAAATTGTGACCACTACCCCATCAGTTGCAGAGAGGCACATTTTTCTGTCCTGCAACTATACATCGCAGAGGGGCAGGGAATTCCTCCGCTGCAACCGATTGGACCAGAATAGGTGAGTTGCAGGCGCTGTTTGGAGTGGCCTTGGGTGTACTCGGGCGAGCTCCAGATCATCTCTAGTAGGAACAACTCAACATTTTGGATTTCCCATCAATTTTAGACCTGATGACAGTGGTCAGAAGGTGACTCCTCTGCGGGAACAAAGACAGCAGCGATAACCTGATAGATTTGGCTTTAGAAACACTTTATTATGTGAATGAGTGAGCATGAGCTCAATCCTGACCCAGATCCAATGTTGAAGATGGGACCATTTATGGACATGCCACATGGAAAGAATTATTTTGGTGCAATTGTTTTTGCCAACAACCTCTGAGCAACCTGACCAATCTTTGCCTTATAAAGACAAAATAAAGAAGTAGGCAACTGTAAATGCAGTACTTTAATTGTCTGGGTGAGTACAGTAGCCCCAGAATGAAAGAGTGGGAGAGAGGAACTAGAAACAAAACTTTAGTTTGCAGGTAGGAAGTCTTTATTTGGGCCCAAAATGGCCTAGGTTTGAAAGCCCTCCACAAAGCAGAGGTCCTCCTGGAGATGGGGGTCGTCTGGCTTGGGAACGCTATGTGTAGCTAAACCACAATGAGTGCTAAACATGCAAAAGTCCAAAAATGTATTTGATTAAATAGCAAAAGGGTAACAAGAGGAAGCCAACGCATTTCTGGGGCCAAAAGTCCCTCTTTATCAGAGCTTTAGAAAAATGTTACTATATCCACTGAGCTCAGAAGTAAAAAAATCTGGATATTTTAATCAGAGACGGTAAGATAAAACATGAGTGGGTGCCTGTGGTATGGAGCTGTGCGGCAGCAGTCATTATCTCACCTCATGATCTCCCAAAAAGACATGTTTCCCTTCTTTGTGTGTTGTCTCCCTAAAAGACATGAACCCCTCTTTGCTCGCAATCTCCCCATAAAACATTCTCCACTTGTGATCATTCCATAAGACACGATCCCTCCCCTGCTTATAGTCTCCCTAAAAGATGTGTCCCCCTCCCCTTTGCTTGTAAAGCCATGATTCCCCCCTCCAGTCCCCCCAAAAGATACATTTAGCCCCTCACCCCCATGCCTCCCTAAAATACATGATTCCTGCTCTCTACTTGCAGTCTCCGGGTAAGACACAATCCTCCTCTACACCGCTCAGTCACCCCAAAAAACATAATCCCCTCCCTGCTGGCAATCTCTCCACAAAACAAGATTCCAGTCCACTCCAAGTCTCCCGAAACCACAGTATTCAGAGAGACAGGACATGGACTAGTATTAGGCTGCCATGAGAAACTAGCAAACCTTTCCTTCTAAAGAGCTCAGAGTCCAGCTTTCTATACACACACACACCACACTTCACAGCCCGGATGAAATGCGTTGGATGTTCTATTCTGTACCATCTTGTTTGTGAATCACAAAAATTGAAATACTGGACTCCAACACTAGTGGTGTGGCGCCATCATGACTCACTTCACTATCTGCTTCCACCCAGGGAGCCTTGTGACGCCCCATCACATAATGGTTGCCTATTATCCCATTGTAGTTTATGGGTAACAGATACTAATTCCATATGCAACACCAGGTATATAGACCCTTCATCCTCTTTACACGGACCACCATTGGCGCTGGGACCTTTTTTTTTTTTTATTACACCATTGAGTTGCATGAAAACATTCATTACGGCCACAGATGACAACGCACAATACTTGCAATGGTGCAGTGTGGCACCATTCATTCTGCATGACCATCTCCCCATAACACCAGATCCCCCATCAATACACGTCACCCATCACAACTCCTCTGCATATAAATAGACCCCCCCTCCTGGTCCTGCTGGGCTATCCCACCTACCCGGTACCCCCAGCCAGCTCTGATCCCACATTCTGAATAGGCCCTGTGTTTGATTGCCATACACTATGAACACGGCTGGTAAACCCTTCAATGGGTTACCACACTGCAACCATAGCCGTTATTTTATCGCTGTGCATCGCCTATATACCCCCCACCACCAATATTAATCTGATCGGGCACCACCCGCGGCATCTTTCACACGAGCCAGGTCACCTCTCACTCTTCCTGTCACCCACCCGGGTCACTTCGCTCTGGGTGTCTCCCGCCCGGTGGTCGCCGCTCTGAAGCTCCACCCCTTTCCTGCTCAGCTTCTGACTCCTCCCCCATAATCACGTCCTCCGCTCCATCACTCTGTAACCCCGCCCCCTCATCTTTCAGCTCGGCTTTGTGACGTCCCGTACCGTGGACCATTCGCAGAGCGGCTCTTCGGGCTGACGAGCCCCAGGTCACGTGTGTCGGTGTGCTTCATCACCGTGCGTTGTCATGTACATTCATAGATTCCACAATGATGAACTCCGCCAGCACTGGATGTGTATTCTCTGTGCTGGGACTGGGAGTCAGAGATGATTTTTTTTATGAATTTAGATACAATTTCAAAGAGTTACCTAAAATAAACAATCGTGTTCATTGCAACGTGTCTAATCCAGGATGAGGATGCATGCGTGTATGTATGGGGGGGACTTTAAAAAAAATGTAATTCTTTTTTATTTGTAACTTTACATTTTTGGGGGGGAAACTTTATTGCTATCACATAGGGGGGTTAGAAAACCCCCTTATGTGATAGCAAAATATGTGACAGGTCCTCTTTATGGAGACATCAGGGGTCTCCAAGACCCCTAATGTCACCTAGGGCCCCCCTGAAGAAGCTGATGAAGCAGAGATCTGCTTCATCAGCTACACCCATAACACTATAGTAGCGCCATGGACCAAACAGGAACCAGCAAACCCCTTGGAATTAACTGTTTTTCTGCAGTAATTTATGATAAAGTGTTGTCTGATCCTCATCTAAGTCACAACAATCATTTCTCGTGTCTTTATCGAACACACCCATTAAACATTCACAGTAACATTCACAGTGCTGGAGAAAAAAGTAAGTGAACCCATAGAGTAATTACTTCAACAAAAGCGAATTGGAGTTCGTAGCTTGCACACCTGGAGTCCAATTAATTAAATGAGTTTGGAGGAGGGGTCAACAGCTACTCTGATTAATAAAAGACACTCAAACATTTTAATATTGCTGTTTATAAGAAGTAGGCATGCACCGATACCAGTATCGGTATTGGTGCCGATGCCAAGTATTTGGGCGAGTACTCATACTCGCCCCAAATGCTCCTATGCCGGTATCAGAAAGCCGGGCAGCAAGTCATTACAGCGAGTCATTGGAGCCAGCTTCAATCAGGAAGCTGGGCAGCGTGTAATGGCATGGCACCCTAGTGACGAGAAGCATGGGGATGGCTTCCCTGCTAAATCGGAAAGCTGGGTGGCGAGTCTTTACACGCCGCCCGGCTTCCTTAATGGGACTTCCGGTATACTGCAAAAAAAAATATCGGTACTCAATACCGGTATCGATGTATCCCTAATAAGAAGCATCAACTGATGTGAACCATACCTCGCAAAAAGGAGCACTCTGAAGAGATATGATCAAGAAAGGTTGATCTGCATAATGCTGAAAAGGGTACAAAACGATTGGAAAATGTTTAGGCATCCATCAGTCAACAGTTAGACAAATTGTCTGTGAATGGAGACAGTTTAGTACTGTGGCTACGCTTCCCAGAAGTGGTCACCCAGCCTAGATGACTCCCAAGGCACAATCTCAATGAGGTAAAAAAGAACCCAGGAGTAACAGCTAAAGGCTTGAAGACAGCTCTGGATCTGGCAAACATCCCCGTTCATGAGTCTACCATACGTAGGTCATTGAACAGCCGCTACTCTCCAAAAAAACATTGCTGCGCGTCTGAAGTTTGCCCAACAGCTCCTTGCCGCAACGCTACTGGGAAAATGTTTTGTGGACTGTTGAAACAAAAGTTGAATTGTTCGGAAAGAATACTCAGCACTATGTATGGCACAGCTTACCGACATCAACACATCATCCCAACGGTAAAGTATGGTGAAGGGAACATCATGATTTGGGCTTGCTTTGCTGCCTCAGGGCCTGGACCACTTGCCATCACCGAGGGGAAACTAAATTCCTGAGTTTACCAAAATATCCTACAGGATAATGTCAGGGTGGCTGTCCGCCAGCTGAAGCTTAAAGGAGAACTATGGGGTAAAGGCTTTTCCTCATAGTTCTCCTTAGGGTAACGGGAGGACACAAACTAGCGTCCTCCCGTCACCCTAAGCTCAGTATACCGCAAGCTACAGCTCGCGGTATACTGAGACGCCACAGTACACCGCGAGCTACTAGAGGCAGAGCCAGCTGTACCCGCCCCCTCCCCCGTCCGATCCGCCATTCCCGGGGGGAATCCAGCCCCTTCCCTGTCATGGCAGAGAGCCGTGACAGGATCGAGAGGTGAGCGAATGCCGGTATGTGTTCGCTCACCTCCCGATCTACTGAGCCGACCTGTGACAGTCTCATTGTCACAGGTAGGCTAGAACTATGAGGTGAGTGAAAAGCACTCGCCTCATAGTTCTCCTTTAAATGACACTGAACTCAAAAGTTAAATCTTAGAAATACATTCAGGTACCTTATTAATAAAAATGTATCCTATTCATGTATCACTCGGCTGTAGATCCTCAAATCATCTCTGAATTGGTGCTGACACTGTCCTTCCTTCTGGAGGGTGGCTACTTTTGTTCCCCATGGTCCCTGTGTGTGACACCATTGCAGGGGTGACACCAACATTACTGACAGTCATTTTGGTGTCACCCCCTCTAAAAAGTCGGGCACTCGGTCATGGACCGAGAGCCCGACAGTGTCAGGAGAGAGGAGGGGACCCGGCTGCATATCTCATCTCACCGGGTGAACGTCCCCTCCTCTCTCTGCCGGCGTCCATCATCAAGATAGCCACTGGCAGGCGTCAATCAAATGGCCGCGTGCACTCGCGATGACGAAACGGTCGGGGTGTCACCCATTCTAGGGACGCCCCTGGCCCCGCCCACTGACTTCTGTCAATCAGCAATCACCTTCTGTTAAAAGTTCTCTCTCAGGTCCACTTCTGCGGATTGACAGAAGGCAGTGGGCAGGTGCAATAGCCAGCCTGCTATTGGCTATTTCATAAGAAGTATTTTGTGGGTACAAGGACTGTGACATGTGTGCAGTATATGCAGAAAATAGGCCAAGACTCTATTCAACCATACCTCTCTAAGCTGACTCAATATTTGGTGCAATGTAGCCATGGCCATCATCCAGTTGTGAGGGTGTCCCTCACAGTCATGTTCTAGAGTTGGCAATAAGATGTGCATAATCTGAGCCTTAAATTGACTTGATATCATCCACATGCAATCCCTTAGTCCCCGTTCACGCGTAGGCATTTAGTAGCTGTTACACACGAGCGACAAAACGCCCAACACAAGAAATGGCATGATTTTCAATGGCCCAAGTTCACACCTCAGCATTCAGACACCAGCAGCAACATGCCGAACCCATGGTCCCTGTGTGTGTTGTAAAGTAGCTACTGCTCCATGCTCGCTCCCGTGATGGACTACAATCTCACATGTAGTTTGCTAATTTGTATTGAGATTGTAGTCCATCACGGGAGCGAGCTTGGAGCGATGACTACTTTACAACACACACAGGGAGAGACATGGGGTACAAAAGTAGCCACCCTCCAGAAGGAAGGACAGTGTCAGCATGAATTCAGAGATGATTTGAGGATCTACAGCACAAATAAGGTACAGATTTGTTTACAGTTCAGGTACTTAAATATTTAAGATTTAAAGGAGAACTATGAGGTGAGTGTTTTTCACTCACCTCACCTCATAGTTCTAGCCGACCTGTGACAATGAAACTGTCACAGGTCGGCTCAGTAGATCGGGAAGTGAGCGAACACATACCGGCGTTCGCTCACTTCTCG